TTCTGGCGAAATTTTAGCGCAATGTATTTCATGCTGCTCGAGTTACGTAGCGATAAAACTTGAACTTTAAGAGCCGCCATTAAAATGCGCCATATTTGAATTTTCAAGAAGGAAGGTGCTTGTGACGTCATAGTCTTAACTCGCGGCTGTTTACAATATAACATTATATACAAATAGAGATTTATAAGGTTGTATAACTCAATTTTTAACATGCCTTCAACACGCTGTGTCGTGCAAGATTGCAGTAATAAGTCTGATAGAAGTACAGGCATTTCATTACATAAAAGCACAAACGACAAGTCTTTGAGAAGAATTTGGGTTAAATTTGTTCAGAAGAAGCGCGCAAACTTTAATCCGAGTTCGCGCAAAATTCGATTTATGATTTGTTCGAATCACTTCTCGGATGATTGTTTTGAGCGTTTATTCCATTTGGGTGGTATGACTAGACGGCTCAAACCTGGTGCCGTACCTACTATTTGGAAGAAATCACAAACACTAACAACGTCAAGAGACCGGCGTCAGGTTAGCATAAGTTGCAATTATTACATACTTACACATATTGCAGATGATAAATTTTCACAATTTGAGAGAACCAATAATACATCCAGGCAAACTTTCAATATATAATATACATTTATACTAAGGTTTTAAAGGAAATACAAAATGAAGTGTCTGTATCATGCGATGACCTTGGGTCTTTAAACCTAACGAAGCTGCTTGAAGAACAAATTCGTTCAGGCAAACTTCGTTAAAGCCAGGGTGATCCAAAATGCATGTCCTTTCATCGACTTCGAACTGATACATTTTACCACGGCATTGCTCTAATTCCATGCAGCATCGGCACTCTTGAGGGTTGACAACAAGATCCAACGAACAATGGCCACATTCACACCTTTAATATTGGCCAAATTGTATGTTTCCATAAAGTTATCATAGCTAACGGCAGACGATTCAGATCAAAGTAACACACTAAGAATGACATCTTACCATGAAGTAACATCAACACGGGCATCAAAACGATCTTGCAGCATGTCCTCAACCTGCCGTTCTTTCGCGACTGCAGCTTCGTACTCCGCAATTTCATCGGTCGAAGCAAGCGGTTCAATATTATCGGCAAATGGCAAAATTTCCGAATTAGATTCGTCCGAATTTGCCGTCATGAATTCCGATAAAGAAATCGATGAGTTTGTCTCGATCGAAGACTCAGAAAGCAAGCTAGATCTCGATGAATTTGACATTTTTTTGCTCTATTTATGTATTACTTTGTATACTTTCCAATGTGCGCTTCTTGCCGTGTTAAGACTATGACGTCACAGACCTTTGCTGATTGCAAATATTCAAAATGGCCGATTTTAATGGCGGACATGAAAATTAGACATTTCAAATGTTCATAACTCCCTCGTTATACTATTATTTTTGAAAGCAATAATTGATATGTGTTTAAACTATTGAATGCTAAAATCGATGATTTTTTAACGTTCAGTTTTCGTCATAGTACCACTTTAAAGAAGGTGCAGTTATTACACAGCGATAATGTACTTGAAATTTGAGTAGTTTTACGTTTTATTATAAAGTTAAGTGCGTAAGTTTAAGTAGCGCGTTTGAGTAAGTGTAGGATTGGCTATTTCCTCTATTGCTATTACATGAATCTAGATGAGTAATGTACGCACGTTATGTAGTCATGTAACTGATGTAAGGTATAAATAAGATTGATGTTCCTATAAAATATATAGCATAGGAATTTTCATCCTTTTATGTTCTACTTCTACAAACGACTTTATATCACAATACCACATGTAATACTTTTAAACCGTAATTGTGATTTATACTCTATAAAAGTTTTTTTAATTTTTTAGATTTTTTCAATACTGTTTCAGTCATGACAGATACATTTTTTTCGATAAAATACTCCCAGAAATCGCGGGAAATGCGCTCCAGTAGCCCTCAAAATTCAAAAATTTTCTGGGGGAGCATGCCCCTGAGTCAGGCTAAGCCGCGAACCGCGAACCTCACCCCCAGCGCTTGCCTATTAAATTCGGTCACCGCACGCCACTGATAAACAATAATTAAGACCTTACAATTATTTATTGTGCCTAAAGATAACTTTATCCAAAAGCAAATGCTTTTAAATGTTTTCACTATTCTTTTCTGAGATGCAAAAGCAAATGTGTATGACACACAAAACTTAATGTTTCCTAGGGCCTTTTTGACCAATGCCACACTTAGTGAACACTGATAAGGCAAAGTAGTGAAAAATACATGAAATGGTAAATAATAGACATATTAGCATACATAATAACACATGCAGGAAGCAAAAAAGTGTTACTGTGCAGGCACAGTTTCTGAGAATTGCCCATTACCGTAATATTGAAAGCATTTTGCAAAAATTGCCAGTTGCCAGCCTTTTATGGAACTCCTGAGCATTTCCCAAGGCTGTCGTAATTTGTCATGTGTTTTTAAAGTTGTACTTGAAAGCCCACTGTATTATAGTATCATATTATTTATACTTAAAGACTGTTTAGTACAGCCACATACTGCACTTAGTTGGCTATAAAGTTGTTATAAGAGATTGATCATGAAATCATTGGTTTCCACATTTATTTTTTGTACTCATGCATAGTGATTGGCTGGCACAGCGGGCAGCTCTATAAAATATCTTGATTGTGGTCCAATACTGTTATTTTTGCAATAAATTTGTTTGCAAATTGAAATTAAAATTTGTACAATTGATTTAAAAGCCATGTAAATTGTTCAAAGAGCTTTCTCAAAGGGTCCTTAAGTACTGAAAAATTCCTTGGCCTTCATCCTAAAGTGGCTTTTGAGACCTAAGATTTTTTAAACAAGTGGTAGATAACATATCAATGTTTTTTAATATTAATTCGAACTTATGGAATTGATTTGAACAAAATTGAAGTCTATCTGTTTATGCACAGCAAATTTTTCATGTTCTTCATAAAATTTGTTATTTTCATGTTGTTCAGAAAAAGCTGATTTAGTCTAAGAAGGAAACGCACATATAACTTAAAATTGCTGGAAAAAGCTTGTGGATGAATTCAACTTTAGCAACCTGTTTGTTTGGCAATGACCAAATCTTATGTGGCAAATTTGAAATGAACTTTTATTTGTATAAGATTAACATACCACACCAACTAAACGGTTATCTTGAACAACCTCCCTTGCTTTACAAATCTAGCTTAGAATGTTATTAACATGTATATAACATTGACGTTTAGTAGGAGTAGTCTAATTCAAACACTTTTAAATTAGTTTCAAGTAAATTGGAAGTAGAGTAAATCATTTCCATACCAGCAAGGACACTATTCGAACAAAGTTTGAATGGCAATTAAACAAGGTAACAATATTACCTAGACAATCACAAAGGATTTAATTAAGTGAACACTTTCTGAATAATCCACAAGAAAATGAAGAATAAATATTCGTTTAACTTATGCATACAATATTAAATTAGAAATATTTTTTTTAATGATCCATTTCCTTCATAGCCCTCATTAACAATAATCAAGCGATATAGAAACAAGAACTTGTAAAATTTTGTGTCAATTTGCTACATGGACTGATTTTCATAATTATTTTTATTGGGTTTGTATAAGTTGATGTGGGGTGAGTTGGTAGTGATGTGAGACAAAGTATGGTTTAGATTTTAGAAAAGTTAAACCGTGTACTGAGGTATAACAGAGAGTTGTAAAGAAACTATCCCAGTACATTTCATGTAAACAAAAATTTCACCAACAAAGATTACAGTCGCAACAATTGGCCATATTGCAACCACAAATGAATATATTTTTGTATTATCTTATTTAGTACTTATTACATTGCTGCATTATCATCCAAATATTTTCATGTTTGATTAACAGCTACAGCCATTGTGGATTTATTAGCAGTTATCTTTATTCAAGTTATTTCTTCATTGACTTTTCCAGGTTGAAAGAAAAAAAACATTGAAGCAAAAGAACCAGTAAAGCAAAGCAAACGTCTACTCTAGAATGTGAACTTCAGTCGCCATTTTGACCATATCAACGACTCATTATTGATGATAATCACTAAGTTCTTTCAAAACGAAGAAACAAGCAAACACGTTAATTATGAAGAGTCGCGAAGACAAAATAGAATAAATAATTGGTGAGTAGTTAGTAGAAATAATCTAACTTTGTGTTTGAGGCATGATGATCATCTAATAAAGTTTGTATCTCCGCTTGGTCTTTTTATGTAATAAATGTTTTGGTAATCATCAAGAATGTATTACATACGAAAGCTTTATTAATTGATTTACCCAAGAAATTAATTTGTGGTATGTGCCTATTGTTTTGCAGAAAAATGGTTGATATCATCGTCATATCAATGGTTGAGAACGGTAGCAGCTTTCCAAAATGAAATGGCAGATCTTTCTGGGGTTTATTCAGATGTCATTATTTAGAGATGTTTGGTACCCTGGCTATATTATTAACCGTCGTTACGTGGAGTGGCATTGCCATGCTGCATAAGAATTTATCTACGTCATATTTTCCTTAGATTGTTTTGTTCACAAGACCTATTTGAGATTTGATGATGAATAATTGCATTTGTGCATCATTGATGCGGGTGGAAGAAGTGACAACTGAAAAACAAGCAATTTAACTGGTGTTAAAAGATCTCTAGCATTTTGTATGAACGTGTGTTAATCCCCATACATATTCATGCAAGGTATTACTGCTAATTTTAAATTTTCCAGTGGCTTTTTATTTTCTAATTGTATTATTCCTGTTTTGTATTTCATAGGGTTAGTATCTGATCCTGCTCAATAGTCTATTCCATTAGCTACGTACGTCGAAGTTGCGCGGAACAACAAACATAGAAACAACTATTTACTGATGTTTTATCATACGATTTTTAGTTAATGGGAATAACTCAAACCACTTTATTGTGGTTGGCTCATTTCTTTAAATGATGAATATGATAGAACGGCAAGTAATATCAGTTGTGTGAGAAGCATAAAGAAAATAATGGACAGCGATTTATTGAGTTCGATAGATCAGTTGAAGAAGGTTTGTCAGATGCCAACAACATACATTTTTCTCTCTTCATTAATTTATTTAAACTACATCTATTTGAATTATCCATTTTAGAAACGTTTGTTGGGAAATAGAGGACTGAACACTTGTATTCATTCTGATTATCTACCTTCATCACCATTGACAGTTCTTGGTCTGCGTGTTTGAAGCCTAATTTAATATAAGATCACATGCAACTGTTACGATTGTTTCGTCGCCAGTGCTGTTGAAACAAATATATGCAACTGTCGTTGTATTTAATGTGCAAGAAGTGAAAAAGTAGAGTAACCTGTGATGAATACAAGAAGGCATAAAATCTTTCCGCCTATTCACAATATTTCAGAAATTAGAAAAATTAGGAAGCTGGAGAAAAACTAAGAAGGTAATGAGGCACTTTGTGGAATTTTAAAATTTTCGTTGAGTTTTAGTTCATGCTTGCTCGAGAGATATCGTACACGTATATTGAGCTATGGTTAGGCAGTTGGCTCTTTTCTTTTTCGGTGCGATTATGAGCTTCCTATAATGTTGCATTAAATTTTGTAGAATGCAAAAGGGAAATTAGGAATATTTCAAAACGTATCTTGGTCGTGCAGAACTTCTCGCTGGCTGGCAGGGAAGGTAGGATTCGAAGTTAGATGCACCTGTTATATATTTTCCCTTTCTATGGTTTTGACAAAGCGGGTCAATTTATTCTTTCGCCATTTGTTGTTATCGTCATGTATTTAGTATTGTTGTAAATACACAACAAAGATTGCCGAAGGTAGCGAGAATTAACTTTGCCGTTTTTCCGGTTTATGGGTGATTGTTCGTAGCTAAGTAGCTATAATTGTTAAAACATGGTTTGACCATTTTCTGATTTGAAATTTCGATGAAGTCGCGGCAAATAATTCCAAGCTAGACTTTAAGAAACAAAAGTTTGTTTTTTGTGTGCAATATTTATGCATGCTTATTAAATTAAAATCACTCCAACAACGGTTGGTGATCGGCTCTTTTGAGTTTCAATCAAAAGTTCATCGTCAGAATCGTTAAGGAAAAGACCGAAATCGAATTTGATAAAAAGAAACGTTTATAACCGTAGAGCTCTAACGTTGGTGATTCATTTTCACGATCCAAGCTGTACATTTAAATAATAAAAGCAAAGCTTGCGGACCAACTGAAAGTGCTGAAGTGATAAGACTATTTTAATATGTCTGTCTTCTTATAAACTGCTTATCTGTCAAATATGACGATGTGCGCTCCGATTAGTGAAACTCGTTCCTCAACACTTTAATTTGAGTTTTTGTTTCTTTATCTTCCTGTGTATTGGTAAATGTTGGTATTTTTCTTAGAATTGCAATTAATATTTCAAACTTTATTTTTGAATCGTATACAAAGAAATCCAGCTTCTAGAGCTAAAACTTGTCTCTTACATCAACAGTTATCAATTGTTTTTGATTAGACATATTAGAAAACCGTGACTCGTCATTAGCCATAAAACACTTTTGTCGTTTTTCCCGTCATATTTTAGCGTAACCTGGAGCAAAGTGGGACACTTTTCATTCATTACAATGTAGCTGCACAATATTGACCAAATTTGTCCAAAACAATCCTTGTCATCTAATAATTATTTGGTAGTAATTTTAAAAACAGACTCCATCTTAAGGTCATGCTATGATCATTCAGGTGTGTGATCGTTAGGTGTCTCACTTTGTTACCAATTGGAAATTATACGAGACTTACCTTAAGTCAAAGTTTAATTATAATTCTATTAGACATTAGCGAGGAGTGGAGGAACTGTAGGCAGGGGCGAAACTAGCACCTTTTTAATGGGGGCTGGGGATGAAATTGCCCTGCAAGGACATAAGATGCCCTGCAGATCCTATGGAACAGTACTTACACTATATATTTTTGTAATACATGTTGTATTTTTGTGGCAGAACGCACTTCAGCATACTATTATATCTTTGATGGCAGTTTTCGCATCTTTGCAGTTGCCCAATTTTTAAAATAATATTTAAGTAAACATTGTCCGTAAGATCTTTTCACATGCAAGAACGATTAAGTCATTTAATCGCGTATCTTTCATTGTGGATCTCAGGCAGTTTTGACAATCTTAAGCTTGCTGAAACACCTTTGCCACGGACACTGGAGCGGCCAGCAATAGTTGATACGCCTTGCACACCGTTGGAAAGACGTTTTGTGTTTGAAAGCAAATAACGCAACGTCTTGAAGGGATTTAGGTTCTGATTTAAGTTGTGATTGTAATGATTGTGCTTCGTGTGCTTTATTAGACTGGATTCCGACAACTCGAATTACAAATTAATCAATAACTCATGACATCTCCCCTTCTGAGATTAATCTAACACTTAACTGTAACAAGATTGTAATCTATATGTTGGATTAGCTAAGTGACAATGTTCTATAAGTAACTTAGGTATCTTGGCCGAATCTAGTTGGTGGTTTCACAGTCCTGCCATAGCGGGTCACATAAGCGTAGCTGGGTGGAGTCGAATGTTCATCATCTGTTGTTCTTGTGTCCTCAGGCTCACTATGGTGCACATGAGGCTCTTCAACTTCTTCTGGTTGGGAATTCTCAGCAGGTTTAGGAGTGACTAATATATCATGCCTGTTCCTTCGCAATTGGCCTCCGGTGTCAGTTTGAACGATATATGACCTTGGTGTCTCTGCCTTCCGGATCACCTGTCCTTTTATTCTCCAGCCTTTGCCATCGTGAAGACGAACATTTGAACCATCTGAAATCTCAGGGAGATTTTTTCTATGCTTATCGTAGTACTGTTTCTGTATTATAGATTTCTTGGAGATTTCTTGGGTCTCTATTGAGGGTAGGCGGGTCTTTAGTTTCCTATTCATTAACATGGCTGCTGGAGCTGTAATACCGTAAGGGCTTGTGCAGGCTCTGAAGTTAAGTAGGGCTAGGTATGGGTCATCACCAGACTTAATGGCTTTTTTCAAGAGGGTCTTGACTGTTTGTACTGTGCGCTCGACTTTGCCATTGGACCTCGGATGAACAGGACTTGAGGTGACGTGTTGAAATTCCCATTGCTTGGCGAAGTCTCGGTATTCCTTCGAAGCGAATTGTGATCCATTGTCTGTGACGACTGTGTCTGGTATACCGTGTCTTGCAAATATTGACTTTGTGTGCTTGATTATTCCGGCAGAGGTAGTTTCTGAAAGTAGACTTACTTCTGGAAAACTAGTATGGTAGTCGACAATTAGTAAATAGTCCTTGCCATTCATGTAGAATAAGTCACATGCTACTCTGCTCCAGGGATGATGAGCTGGTGGTAGTGGCATAAGTGGTTCGCGTTGCTGTCGTTTTCTTGATTCTAGGCATGTTTCACAGCGGGAAATCATCTCAGATATTTCTGTAGCCATCCCTGGCCAAAAGATCAATTCAATTCCTAAATGCCCCTCGTGAATTCTTGCTTTCATCTCACGTCTCATTGAGGAGGGTACTATGATGCGGTTTGTTCTAAGGAGGATTCCTTCAGCTTCTGATATTTCATCGATGAATGTCAGGTATGGCTTGACAGCATCAGGGATGAGTTGTTTGTTGGATGGAAGACCATTGACAGTTATGTTTTCAGCTCTTGAAGAGTAGGATCCTTAGCTGTCTCGAGTTTAAATTCTAGTAGCTTGAAATCTGATACTGGCAGGTTGTGCAGAGCTGAGTGCACATGACAGTTCATGTCTTGCTCCGATATCTCTGGTGTGGGTTTACTTTCCAGGTATGCTCTGCTAAGAGCATCTGCAACGGGAATGTCCGTTCCTGGTGTGTAGTCAACACTTAGCTCATATCGCTGGAGCCTAGCAGTAGTCTTTGCAAGCGTGGAGGAGCCCTGCATAGTGGTTTTGAAAGATTGCTTTGAGTGGCTTGTGGTCTGAACGTACCGTGATTGGTCTGCCGTAGGTGTATTCGTGGAAGCGCTCGCATGCAAACACAATTGCCAATGTCTCTTTTTCTATCTGTGCGTAGTTTTGCTCACTTTGGGTTATTGCTCTACTAGCATATGCGACGGGCTTCCAGGTGTTCTCTTCTAATTGCTCGAGTACTGCACCAAGACCTGATTTAGAGGCGTCAGCTGTGATCCTTATGGCATGTTTTGGATTAAAGTAGTTTAACACTGGACTGCTGGTGACGAGGTGTTTTAGATTTTCTATGGCTTGACGGTGTTTCGTTTCGAAATGCCAGACGACGTCTTTTTCAAGTAGTTGTCTTAGCGGCGCTGTCTCATCAGATAGGCGCGGTAAAAACTTTCCGAGGTACGTCACCATACCGAGAAAACGTTGAATTTCGACTTTGTTGCTAGGCATGGGCATGTTGATTATTGCTTCTATTTTTCTAGGATCTGGCTTAATGCCTGCTGCAGTGATTACGTGTCCTAAGAAGGTTGTCTCGGAAACCCCGAAGCGGAATTTCTTTTCATTCAGTTTAAGTCCAGACTCTCTTACTCTGTCGAGTATGTCCTTTAGTGCTTTGTCGTGCTGCTCTTTGTTCCTACCAAAGACTATGATGTCATCTTGGTCGTTTGCCGCATTCGGTACACCGTCAATGATTTCAGCAACTTTCTTCTGAAACACTTCAGCGGCACTGTGAATCCCGAACGCTAGGCGCTTTAAAACAGTATCGTCCAAATGGCCTGTTAAATGCAAGTAGTTTCGAGCTGGCTTCGTCGACTTTAACTTGCCAGTAACCGCTGGATGCGTCAAGCTTTGTAAATATGGTGGCGCCGCCTAGTTTGGATAGGACTTCGTCCACTGTAGGCATAGGATAGTGATGACGTTTTATGGCAGTGTTCAAATCTTTAGGGTCAAGACAAATACGTAACTGGCCATTGTCTTTTTCTACAACTACCATGGAGCTGACCCAATCGGTTGGTTCGTCAACTTTCTCTATGACATCAAGCTTGCACATGCGTTTTAACTCAGCTTTGAGACGTTCCATAAGTGATATTGGAATCTTTCGAGGTGGATGAACTACTGGCGTTACATTGGGGTCAATGCTAATGTGATGTTCACCCTTTAGGCATCCAAGTTCTCCAAAACATCTTTGTACTTTTGTATGAAGTTTGGTATTTTAGCATTTACGGTCCAAACTCGCTTTATAAGATTGAGGTCGATGCTGGTTTGTAACCCAATTAGTGGCGGTGAAGTAGTGTTTGCAACAACAAACGGTATTGCGTGGGTTTGATTGTTATGTTGAATGTCCAGCGTGCATTTTCCAACCACTGGAATGTTCATTCCGTTATATGCTGTCAACGTTGTAGTAGTTTTCTCAATATGCGGTCTAGTTGCTCGTTTCTCAATTGTTGCCATTGGTATGACGTTAGCCTGAGCTCCAGTGTCAATTTTGAACCGCGTGACACTTTCATTTGATCGCAGAGAGATAATCCAGTCACAATTTCCATCTTGTGTGATATTAGCCGTATTGACGAAGTTGTCTGTCACTTCCGTTGAGAGAGTTCCTATGAAAATGTTATTTGCATCGCTTGCCATCTCGTAATCGTGACCTTCATGACCTTCCGTGGTATAATGTACGCTGCGGGACGTAGATAAGCAAACAGAGGCAAAGTGATTCAATTTATGACACTTTGAGCATGTTTTCCCATATGCAGGAC